TACCTTAAAATGTTTCTCTAATCCCCGTGTTTTTCCCCATCTCACACTGGTGCTTCTACCTTTTGTGTCAAGACCTTACTCTCCGATAACCTGAGCCATAATCCGAAACACCAGAAGCGTATCTAAAAACCACAGCGCCCCAATGAAAAAACTGCCTTGGGCCCCCCCCATATGTCTACCCCCTGCCACCACCCCTATAGGTCTACCCTCACCCTCCCATATGTTGTCCTCCCACACATGCAGACAAACAGATACATATGCAGACACACACACAGACACACCCACACACATATACAGAGACACACACATACAGACACACATACATACAGACACACACATACATACATACATACATACATACACACACATAGATACAAACACACACATACATACATACATACATACAGACACATACATACAGACACACATATACAGACAGACACACATACATATAAACACACATATACACAGACAGACATACACACACCTGTACAGACAGACACACACAGACACACACACACACACACAAAGATATACAGACACATACATACAAACACACATACAAACACACATACTGACACAGAGACACATACATACAGACACACACACACATACAAACACACACACACACACATACAGGCAGACAGACATACAAACAAACAAACAGACATACATACAAACACACATACATACACACATACTGAGAAACATTCATACAGACACACATACAGACACACATGCATGCAGAGGCGGAACTAAAAACCATGGGACCCTGGTGTGAAAACTGCCCTTGGGCCCCCCATACATCTACCCCCACCATGCCCCCATACGTCTACCCTCACCCCCCACACATGCAGACAAACAGATACAAATGCAGGCACACACATAGACACAAACACATATACAGAGACACACACATACATGCCCACATACATACATACATACATACAGACACATACATACAAACACATACAAACACACAGACACACATATACAGACACACATACATACACAGAAAGACATACACACACATACATACAGACACACAGACACACACAGACATACATACACAGAAAAACACACACAGACAGACAAAAACACACACACACATACAAACACACATACATACTAACAGAGACACACACATACATACACCCAGACAGACAGGCACACACACATACACACAAACACACATACTCTGACAGAAACACACAGATACAAACACACACACACACACACACACACATACAGACACACAGAGAGACATACATACACACATACAGAGAAACATTCATACAGACACACGTGCATGAACATATACAGAGAAACATACATAAAGACACACATACATACAAACAAACACACACACACAACAGTGCTGACCTGGCCCCCTGGAAATTAATTTCCATCAGGTGGCCTTAAGAGCATGGGCCAACCGATGGGCCCCTTAATGTGTGGCCCTGGCGGTTCTACCGCGCGGGCCAGGGCCGCAACACATGGTGGTGGGCACCTCGGTCGCTTGGCAAGCCCAGTCACAGCTGCGTCCCCTATAACTGCGGTAGTTCTGCCACTGCTAAATACTCTAACCCTAAGCTAGCACTAACCCTGTATTAGTGCTAATCATACCTAAAGCCTAACACTGTTCCTACAGTTAGCTAACTCTAAAACTCTCTCTTCTCTTAACTAACCTTTACCTCTCGCTACTCTGTGCTAAGCCTAACACTCTTCTTCTCTTAACTAACCGTAACCTCTCCTTACTCTGTGCTAAGCCCAACACTCTCTCTACTCTTAACTAACCCTAACCCCTCCTTACTCTGTGCTAAGCCTAACACTCTTCTTCTCTTAACTAGCCCTAACCCCTCCTTACGCTGTGTTAAGCCTAACACTCTTCTTCCCTTAACTAACCATAACCCCTCCTTACTCTGTGCTAAGCCTAACACTCTATCTTCTCTTAACTAACCCTAACCTCTCCCTGCTCTGTGCTAAGCCCAACACTCTCTCTACTCTTAACTAACCCTAACCCCTCCTTACTCTGTGCTAAGCCTAACACTCTTCTTCTCTTAACTAGCCCTAACCCCTCTTTACTCTGTGCTAAGCCTAACACTCTTCTTCTCTTAACTAACCCTAACCTCTCCCTGCTCTGTGCTAAGCCTCAACACTCTCTCTACTCTTAACTAACCCTAACCCCTCCTTACTCTGTGCTAAGCCTAACACTCTTCTTCTCTTAACTAGCCCTAACCCCTCTTTACTCTGTGCTAAGCCTAACACTCTTCTTTTCTTAACTAGCCCTAACCTCACCCGACTGTGTGCTAAGCCTAACACTCTCTCTACTCATAGCTAACTATAACACTCTCTCAACTCTTAACTAACCCCAACCCCTCCCTACTTTGTGCTAAGTCTAACGCTCTTCTTCTCTTAACTAACCCTAACCCCTCCTTACTCTGTGATAAGCCTAACACTCTCTCTTCATTGAGCTAACTTTATCTCTCTCTCTATTCTTAGTTAACTCTAACACTATCCATACTCTTAGCTAACACTGACATTCTCTCCACGCTTAACTAACTCTAACACTCTCCCTACTCCTAGCTACCTGTACCTCTCTATATATAATTTGCTAACGCTAACACTCTCTCTACTCTTTGTTAACCCTGACACTCTCCCTACTCTTAGTTAACTCTAACACTCTGCCTCCTCTTGGTTATCTCAACCACTCTCCCTCCTCTTAGTTAACTCTAACACGCTCCCTCCTTTTAGTTAACTTTAATACTCTCCTTACTGTTAGCTAACCCTAAAACTCTCCTTACTGTTAGCTAACCCTAACACTCTCCCTACTTTTAGCTAACCCTGACACTCACCCTACTTGGATATTGTCCCATGTGTTACTAACCAAATACTTACACTATCCCCATAGTTAACTAAATCTAACACTAACATTAGGGTCAGCTACCACAAACCCTAACTTTAGAATTAGCTAACCTTAAGGGACACTTGAAAGATTTCCATTATAAAAACATGGCAGCCTTTCAACCCTGTACCTGATAACCTTCAAGGTTTATCTATGCAAGTAAGTAATTCATTGGGTAACCTTATATAGCCATACCTTGGAAACGGTATATTCTGGTACATTTGAGTTTATGTAACATTTCTTGCCCCTATGGACTAATTGTCCTATGTTTATTTATGCTAATTTGTGGCTACTAGTTTTCCCTTATGCACGTATAATACCTTTAGACATATAGAAGTACATATCTTCATACAGATACCTAGCTACACATACAGTATATTCCTGAATACTTTGATACACAAAAATTATAGATTGCCAATCACTTATATCATATAATGTGATATATATGTATACAATAAGTAACATACTTTCATAATCAGTATTCTGGAAGAGAAGAGGACATAAAAGAAAGGAGTAATATCATCTGGACCTCTTTTTGATCCTGTGTGGTTATATGTCCACTTCCATGATGACCAGGACATGGTTCTACATGAATCTGATGCAGCATGCTCTGTGTTTCACTAAGGCACACACAATAATGTATCCTTGGCTTCATCAGCAGTACTATGATCACATCGCTTGGTTTTACTGCATGATATTCATTGTTCCAATGTTCTGATTTTGATTATACAACTTGCTCTGACTCATCTTGAGTTTCTGCTATCCAAATTTTAGGTTGTTTTAGATGAATCATGTTTCCATTGCCTGCACTGATATTCTGGCATGTCTTTTTTATTATTTAACTTAACTGATACCACACATTCTTTATCTGTCATTGTCACAGTGTTTCTTACGGATCCCCATGTACTAGCATTAAGTCCCAATACCACTTGAATTCCATGGTTCGTCTTCATGAGGAATGGTGGAAGTGGCAAGAATTTAACTCTGGATTTAGAGATAACATCCAAATGGCTACTTTATGCACCAACTGGTCGGATCCATGTTACTGTGCTGTTATGTAGAGCAAGTTTTGGCCTCCAACACAGCAACTGTGACTTGGTTATAAGACCCAAGGTACTTACAACTCTGCAACCACTGAAGCCATAACATCTTCTGGTGTCTAGTATGAGAAATCAGTTGATACATTCCTTCTACGGCATCATATTTTTTAATCTTCATTTATGGCACATGCTGGTAGAGCATCTGCATAGAACTTTGAGCAACCATAACCACCGTGTTTGGTAAAAGGAAAACATATGGTGCAATTTGAGTCTTACAGCACTTAAATTTGACTTCAAATACCAACATTGTAAGTAACTACTAGAGAAGAGTCATGTGATATAGAATGTAAAAATGATCAGTGTCATTTAAAACTTAGAACATGTAGATAACACATCACATTCCAATTCAGTTTTAAATCTTTAGAAAGGAGCCTTTTCTGGGAGATAGAATAATTACTGGTACAAGGGGGGTGGGGGGATTGCAAATATACAAGCATGGGGCCATTGCGGCCAAGTAAAAAAAAATCATTTTTGTAAATGTAGAAATGGTGAGACAAATCTGCCAGATCTGTGATTGAGTCAAACAAAACTTACAAAATATAATTTCAAAGTATGAGTTTCTGTATCTACTACCAGTTTAAAGAAAATCTGATTTTCAATATTCGCTGATAGTTCCTTTTTATTAGTTGAGCTCCCTGTAACAAATTATATCAGTCTTAATATACCAAACACCTGTAACTTTGAAATTACATCTGATCACCTTCAGGCAAGCAAGACATCAAATAGTGAGAAGCAAAATTCATTTCCATGAAATGTCTATAGCTTTTCTTTTATTTTTCCTCTAGATGGCACTATACTCTGCAATTCTTCACAGCAACAACAATGAAACGATTGTTTCCTGTCACCACTTAACAATTCCTCCTTTTCATTTTGCATTCTTTCGTGTTGCTCGTAATATTTATTTTAAAAGCGTACCTTTGTGCTCAGTGGGCCTCAGAGCGTTTCAGTGCTGTTTTGATACGAGGTCTTCAAGGAAAAGAGGAGGAGAGCATACAGTTCCCATGACACCCATGGACTTTGAAGTGACCAAAAAAAAATCTTCTCAAAGAACACCTAATCTTTGGGACCGATCCAAGTGCCACAGTGTCTATGCAATTCACAAAGGCCACTTGGAATATCTGAGAGAGTTAGGTGTGTCTGTGAAGTCCGTCACAGCTCTCGACTAGCTAAATAAGTGTTAAAGGAGTTGTTTTACATTTTCAGTAATTGATAAAAGAGAAGTAAATCTGCTTTTTTTTTGGGCCACACCTTTAGACATGTTATTTTGTGTTTTAGGGTGGTCATCTTTCATTATATACCACCATAAAATTCATTTTTAGCATTGTTAAATGATCCATTATATATCAATTTAAATTTGTAACATTTCTGCATTGTATCACTTATGTTACTTTTGTTTTTGCAATTTGTTGTTTGTGTGTTGTGAGTTGTATTTTGTTCTGTTGTTTTTTTTAATAATTTTAGTATGTTGCATTGTATTCTGTTAAATATCAGTGGCTGTACATTGTACCTCACTTGGTGCATTGCAAACATTTATTGGCTGGCTAAGCATTATCAGAGTCAGAATTCCCAGCAGCTGGTGGTTGTCTATCCCTATTAAGGCCTGTGATGGCTAACATTTGGTTTTCCAGTTGTGGAGAACATGTTTCAAACATTGCTCGTCCAGCCATTCAAAATGATCAGTATATACGAAGTCAGCAAAATCCTTTATGTAATTTACAAAAAGCAGATGTCACCTGTTTTTATCTATTTGCGCTCTACATGTCTAATAAATATCACTAGATATTAAAAAACAACAAAAAAAAAGTCCAATCGATTATTTTATAAGATGTAGTAAAAATAAATAATTGCACTTGGGGTGGATGAGCTATTAGGTAATGTAGGAGTTAACCAGATGTGTTTAGCTACTGAAATGGCCGTACTTAGCTGCACAAAGCAAAAACATGGTTGTTGGTGTTGTTTTTATATTAACCCCTGCATGAAAATCCACCATTTCGTGGGATAGGCATAAGGCTATCCTAACTGTAAGATAAGGCCAGGGCCTAATGAAAGTATTTAGAAAATTGGGCAGACTAGATGGGCCGAATGGTTCTTATCAGCCGTCACATTCTATGTTCATATGTTTCTATGTTTCTAAAATTGCTATTTATTTTTAATGAAATGAATATGCATTTTGTCATTCAAGGGTTAATATAACAGCCGCTCTCACAAGCTCTCACTGTGATAACGTGACTTCTCTGTATGTCCAAAAAAAAAAGCAGAATACAGTAAGCATGGTATCACAACTAAGCAGTGTAAAGGGAAAACTAGATAATACAAGATTGTAAACTCAGATGTGTGAAATTCTATATATATATATATTGGTGGACAAATACCAAGGACTGAAATAAAAACTAGAAAGGATGTGGAAAGTGAAGGCAGTAGTAGTCCCAGTTGTGTTAGGAGCACTCCGGGCTGTGACTCTTAAGTTGGGGGAGTGGTTTCAACAGATTCCAGGTGGGATATCGCTGTCCAGAAGAGTGCAGTTCTAGGAAAAGATACTGCCCAGAACCCTCAGATTCCCAGGCCTCTGGTAGAGGACCCGAGAATGAGAAATAAACATACCACCCAGGAAGGGTGAGAAAATAAAATTTTATATCTATATCTATATATATATATATCAGTGCTTTGTGAGTATCAACTTCTCTCTTTATTTTTAACACTTTCATTTCTTTATTTATGTATTTCCTATTTATGTATCTATTAAAAGGACACTGTATGCACTGTGATAGTGTCTGGAGTCTCGTGGCTCTGCTGAGAATTCAGCCCATAATAGTTACAATATAAAAAATATTAAATTTTAACAGACCCAGTGGCTTAACATCGCCAGTTATTAAAGTTATGATTTGATATTCTGGAAATGTTGAACTGATGATGGGGTGTAGAATTCTATAATTGCAGAACCTCTCAACACAATTCTTTCTGGCTGTGAGGACGCTGTTCATTGTGGCTGCATCATTTTATCTGACTAAGTGAAATGATGTGAAGGATCTTTGCTCACACATTGAGCTCTACATCCACATGCCACCACGCTCCAAAAACTTCACATTGCACCTGTGCCTCCTATTGTATCAGTGATACAACACAGTCCAGGCTAGTCAATAAAGTGAGAATTATTGGGAATACAATTTAAGGCCAAAACAGCCCAACTGAAAAACCAATCCAAGTCAGCGATGCTTCTAGTTTGACCACTTTGAAGGGCAATTTTTTTTGCACCTTTCTCTTACAACCAAACTTCAGGGCACCACATCCACTCTCGTTTCGGACTATATGCCATCATATTATTTGTTTGTCTTATACTTATCTTATTGTTCAATAACACCCATTTGTTATCCATTAACTTATTTGGTAATAATCATTGACACGGACCTGCACAGCAGAAATATTGATAACCAGCATGGGCGTCTAGGAGTGGAGGACAGTCCACAATCACAAAATCCAATAAGCAAATCAAGTGGACGTCATTGCACTCTGGAAACTGTAAGAAATTATATTCAATCAAAATAAATCTGTTATGAATGGTATGGCAAGTAGAAAAAAGCGGTAAAGAGGGAGTTTGCGAATTTAGACTTGGTTGTCTTAAAGTTCTTTAGCAATAGTGTATCACTCAATCTATTAGCAAATGTTATGACAGACATTTCAGACTTTAAACTGCGTCTCTTATTAATTCCTTATTATTCCCACTCCCATACATGGACTAGGTGTGTATAAAAATGTTTCTAAATTCTGCTACTTTTACCTTAGAAAGGAAGAACACCTTTTATATCTCAATATGAAAAGTATTTATTCTTGGTCTCCTTATTTTCTTTCTTCTTAAATACAATCCTCACTCTATCAGTCTTCCTTCTACCATATGTTTCCATCGAAATCCAATAAGAATGTTTCTGGTGGGCTTATCTTCCACACCAGCAGCTTTTTGCATGCCTCACTTGCCAAATCTTGAACTTGCTTCCTGTAAAACTTTTTGGCTTAAATGTAAAATCAGATCTTAACCTATAAAACTCAAAACAATTGTACCTCAGGATGCCATGATATTCCCTTCTTCTCTGTTCACACAAATACCCCAACCCCATTTTCATAGAATGTCTTAAGGGCTGTCCTTTATTAACACTAGACAAAATAAAAGGTGGTCATTGACCATGTATAAATAGCTGAGGTATATTGTAAAAGCGCAGCTATCACTTGTGAGATTTATGCACAAGCCGATAGCAAACTAAAGGTTAGATTGTGTACCTTGTTCAGTGAAATCATTTTGCCTGAAAACATTTTTTTTTCAGATCGACTGAATTTTGTCCATGCTGTGATTTGGCTAAGTCCAAAAATTTACTACTTATATTATTCCACAAAAATTATTTGGGTGAACAGGAAGGATGGGAAAGTGTGCCTATCAGTGTACTGCCCTATATATGCATAATACTGAATATTCAGTACACATTTGGTCAACTTTCAATTTTTGAGCTTTCGCTTTGAGATTTCACTTTGAACATTCAACTGCAAATTTTAAGTATTCAGTCTAGCTGATTCCAGGTTTATTTATTTACATATTGTTTACATTATTTACATATTGTTGATTTAGTGGCTGCCCCCTAACCATTATTCTTTTTTGGGGGGGGGGGCATCATGAGCTGAACACTAAATCATGGATGGACAAAACTGTCTCATCCATTGACCTTATTGGTTGTTTTGTGATTTGTGCATATAATGGTTTTTTACTGAAGTTGAATGCAAAAGTCTACTAAAGGTGATATTTATTTAGTTTTTAAATCTCACTAATTACATTTTTGATTTACAAGGGATGACTAACTGCTCAGACATGGCATGCAAATTAAATTAACCCTTTGCAGTGCCATACTTGCAGGTGCATACATATTTAATGCACTATTAAAAGGGGTCAGGAGCACACACATGAAATAGCTCTGTGGATGTCTGAGTGGAAATAAGCTTGCCCAAGGAATGTATCTCGAGTTTGCATTCTCTTTTTATTCTTGGTAGATGTTGGTACATAAAATGTGAAGGCTACGTAACCAGACTTCTGTCCCACATCTAGTGGGAACCTACGCATAATCCCAGTAGGCACACCATTTACCCCCCAAAAAACAGGCTGTACTATAGCTTTAAAACTGCAACACCATCTAGTAAGTATTGAGTATCCTCACAGTTTCTAGGGTTTCCTATCAAGGGATCTTGCTTTGGACATCACCATAATGTTGGCTTAATTACTCCACCTGGGTATTATGAACTTTTTGAAGCTTTGCCGCAATGCTATCAAAATATCCAACAATAACCTATAGTGACTTGAGCCACAAGTATTCAATCACATTATATTAGATGAAAACATCTAGATTATTTTATTTAAGACCACGGTTTTGACTCACTGAGGTTACCATAAAAAAATGCTACCTTGAAATAATAAAATGATGTTTGCAGTTCTGCCATCATAAAACAATCAGAGTGCAGGAACACATTATTGCTAGAAGTGAAAGGCCCATTTGAACCTTTGGATAAGCAGTATCACTGCTAGCTACCCAGTGGCATTACTTAATCAAATGATTGTATGCTTGAGAAGTCATGCAAGGATTTGATAAATGTATCACAAACTTAGTTTGCATGGACTGACGAGACCCAAGGCATATTTCAATTTTAACATCCTGCAAAAATAGCATCACTAGACCTTGATAAATACGCTTCAAAAGTGCATTTTAAAACTTTAACTTCCAAGCATTTACATTTGTTTTATTAGTGGAGATAATGATATATTTTTTGTTTATCAGCAAAGTTATAATGATTTTTTTTTCTTTTTCTGCAAGTCAAACATGAACACCCCATTAATCATAGATAGATTATCCTCATCGTTACTGTGTATTTACTGTATGCTTACATTTTTTTTAAAGTAAATCAGGACAACCGTGCCTTAACACTTTAACTACCAACAATGTGTGTACAAGTGCTTCATTTCACATCACAATGTAAGTACTAAGCAATAAATAATGTAATATGATTTCTTAGACATTTTATCTCTTACACATTATTTCGCCACCCCTCCACTATGGGACTGGGTTTTGCGTTTGAACAGTTGAGCGACCAGAGGCTTCGTAATTCTGTTAATGACTAGCTGAGCTTTAGCAGTGAGAGTAGCAACAGAGTAACATCTTTTTAGCTGATTTCACTAAAAAGTCAATTAATTATTATTTGGTTTTGATAAAAATTGAAGTGCCTACTATTTAAAAAATTTAATTACTGGCTAGTAGTTTATACACCTAGTCTCACGACATTACAGGAAATTTCCTTAAATGGCTTCT